CCCCCCCCCCCCACCGCCCTTCCCCTGCTTACGCTCTCTCTCTCTCTCTCAAAATAAATAAACTTAAAAAAAGAAACTAAAGATCATGTAATTGATGTTTTGCTTACCTAATTATGAAACATTTATTCTCTGTTGAAACGTTTTGTCTTTTTATGTTTTAGGAATGTTATGTTCATAACTTGCTAAGGATTAGTGTATATTTTCCAACCTTGAGGCATGAAATTCTAGAGCTTGTGATTGAAAAGTTACTCAAGTTGGATGTAAGTATCTGGTAATCTGTTTTTCTCCTTGATTTGCATTCGTTAAATATATATAGCAGTACGTGAAGCAATAGTAGCAACAATGGGGAAGAATCCACATTTCCATCTTTGATTCATTTCTTTGAATGTTTCTTAAACTTGATGGATGTGCTGGTGGTTGTAGACAGTTGCATCTCATGGTTGGGGAACGAGGCATTAATCAGATGGTCATGCACATGTGAAAGTACAGTCGTGGGGCAGCTGGGTGGCTCAGTCGGTTAAGCGTCCAACTTCAGCTCAGGTCATGATCTCAAGGTTTGTGAGTTTGAGCCCCACGTCGGGTTCCGTGCTGACAGCTCAGAGCCTGGAGCCTGCTTCGGATTTTGTGTCTCCCTCTGTCTCTGCTCCTCCTCTGCTCGTGCTCTGTCTCTCTCTCTCTCATAAATAAACGTTAAAAAGAAAAAAGTACAGTTGCGGGAAATGCTGTAAGTGGAATACATGCATCGTTATGTGCTGGAGAACCTGATGTAAGTGAGGGGCTCAGGAAGGCATTCCTAAGGAAGCAGTGTTGAATTCTTTACACTCTTTTTTAAAAAGGCCTGCAGTGGAGTGCAGAGGGAATAAGTGACAGTGGTGGGTTCTGGTGGCATCGGGGAGGAAAGGCGAGAACTGGTCCTGGAGACTGGACCAGAAGTCGAGAGGAAGAGAAAGGCAGCTCTCTGTGGAATAGAGTGTGGCGTGGCCGTTAGTGGTAAGGAGGATGGTCAGGAGGAGGTCGGAAGAGGAAGAGTTCCATATTTGGGTGGACCGGGGTGCAGCTGC